AACACTTTAACTCGAAATGGAAGTAAGCTCAACAATTATGAAACAAGATATTCCTCGAAACCCAACTTTTATTCGCATATATCCTCTTTTGTTTCGGGTGAAAATGGACGAAGCTTCTCTCCATCATGTAGTGAAACTTTTTCTTCTAAAAGTCTCACGTAAGCACTTGGTCAAGGAGACTCAGCTTTGGCCTAGTGTTAACTTGAGACTTCTGAAAGAATGACTTTTAGCTCTGATGATGCCCATCATGTGATGGACAAAAGATCAGTGCGTTTTCATCCGAAACGAGAGAGGACGTCTAGTGGACTGCGTCAACCTTAATGTCATATTAAAGCCAATGGGCTGCCAAACAACAGAAATAATGTGTCGCCAACTAGTGAGATAAACCGATACATCTCTTCTTCATGCACTTTCATACAAACTAAAAAGTCTCCAAAACGATCCCACTAGTAATGGTTACTAATAAAATGAAGTTTGACTGTCCCTGCCTTCTCGTCGCAGCCTCACAAAGGGAAACCTACGCTTCAACTCGAAACCACCAGATAAGAGTGTTCAGGCTAGGGCAAATTGTCGTTCAGTCGACTTGCAAGCCCCGTCCTTCAACCCTGTTGGAAGTGGTTTATGGACTGAAACCGCCCTCCTGCAATGAGAAGAGCCCACTTTGCAGGCAGGTAACTCATCGTGGACAGATCATTAGCAGCGTGAGATAGACAAAGGTAATATCTTCGCTATAACATGCTTCAGGACCGTGTCATAAGGCAGCACCGGCAAGCCTCATGCACATCTTTGTGTCCCTGTAATCACGCCTCCCGGCAAGAATCTTATTGTGTTTGTCTTCCGTGCAGGCAAAGTCCCATAATGCGGCTAAATGAATTACATCTTGCAGAACATTCTCGATGACATTGTTAAGCTCGGTACTTTCTTCATGCAAAGGGAAAAGACTGTCTAATAGTAATGAAAGAGGAAAATGCTCGACTTGTTAATCTTGCTGTGGTCTTATTAGAATTACGTAAATTTTACCTCTTCCAATGAACAGTTCATTGAAACGGAGCACCTCATAAAGGCACATATTTGATCCCAAATACGTACTGGCAAGCTTTATGGTTACCAGAATGGTTTCTCCTACTAGGCATTAACTCCGAGTCTGTCGGCTATAAAATGGCTAGTCTCAAGCAGAATGTGTAAAGCCTGATACTGGACTGTGTATTGCCTCAAGAAAAACATATTTTAGCCTTCCCCTACTGAGCCAGACTTGCTCAAGTGAAATAGGCCTCTGAATGCCTGCCACTTGTATGCAACCGTTTTCAACCATATCAGACCGAAGACATGGACAATCGGATATAGACACTTCCATTTTTCATTCACATTCAACAAACATTACAACCGCAGACTTCGGAGCATAACCACCAGTTGACTAGCAAAGGCTGCCAACTAACAGGCAGGAAAGAATAGTGTCCAGACACGAGACCTTCAGAAGGATCCATCCTTAGCACCGACCAGCCAAATGACAAGGTTGCAAATGGCTACAGACATTTAAGTATTCACAAATTCGTCAAGCAAACCGTAACGTCGAACAACCAATGGTCAGTTGAAATGAGAAGCCCCGGCTGATGTGGCAACAAATTCTGTTCCTTTGTGGCCGCTCACGTGAATATGCCCACCCCTCTTCAGCTTAAAGGCATACGAGGTATCGCGAAAGGAGGGAGGAGCAGTCGATTAGAAAGTTACAGTAAAAGCCGAAATGTGTGACATAAGGATCGTTTAACAAATTTCGACAGGCAATCTTGTAGAATCGGTGCCGTCATGTAGCACCAAATTACTAGTCGCAGGGTCTGCTTTAGGTGGCATAAGGAAACACATATGCGAAGAAATGTTGGGTTAAGAGGAATCTATTGTTTCATAATTGTTGAGCTTACTTCCATTTCCAGTGAAATTATTGGGTGAAAAGATTCGAATTTTGGTTCCACCAGAAGACGACGGCAGATTCCTCTTGACCAGCTGTCGATTGGCTTTAATGGAAGATTT